AAATGAAGCTGAGGCTCAAAATATTTAAGGGATTTTCTCAAAGTCATAGCATGCACGGATAGAGCCAAATTTAGAACCCTGATTTTCTGAGTCTTACACACTAACAGGCAGGACATTCAGAGAGGAACTGAGCGAAGGGCTGTAACCCAGAAGGAATGGCCTGATGGAGAGGCATCCCTAACTTCAGGGGATGACAAAGGAAGGGGACCAGAACATTCAGGCAGCCTCCTAGCCAGTGAGTCACAGCATTTGTATTTGGAGCTCCCAGAGAAAACAGCAAAACGCACTAATCCTTTTTGGGCTGAGTTTGCTATTATGTGGAATCAGCTTTGAAAAACACAAATGTTTAACCCTCACCAACTCACTTAGTGGATGAGTCAGTCACGTTTGGCAGTTATCTCAACAGTTCTACAAATTATTCATTTGAAGCCAAGTCACATAAAACAGGAAAAATACCTTTATAGGGAAGGAGAAGTATCTTCAAAAAGTTCACGGAAATGCTTACTATGAAATCAAGATGTATGGATTTCAAAATTTTGCAACAAAATTAACTTGTTTTTTTCTTTTTTATTCTCATCAGTTCTCATGTTAATGTGATGTTAATGCAAAAAGAACAGATTTAATGCAGTTCATAGATACAATTTTGTGAGTATAATGTTACTTCCCTTCCTCCCTCCCTATTTTTAATTCAATTTTCCATGAACTTTTTACAGTATTCTTATATATGTATTCATGCATATTTATGTGTTCCATAAAAACAGAAAAAACAAATGATGACAATCTGTATTTGTCTCATGATATTTGTGACCTGTGTTTCTCAGGTCATAAAAGACAATAGATGATATCATTCACAGGTGCGTAAACATTCTTTAATAAAATATATACATAACTTATGTTATATTACTGGAAAACACAGAGTATTCTACATTTAATATGAGTTTTATGGACAATTCATGGTCTCTAAAGTATCTGTAATGACCAATAGATTTTGATTATGTTTAGTGATTTACTGGCAAAAAATTCATAATTATCACACACATTTGTCCTATAGACCTACGCACACAAAGTTTGTTTTCAAATAATGAATTATAAGTAGAAAATTACATATTGTGTCAGGAGTTTGTTTGAGTGTTGACATTTTCTTAGTGAATGTAGGCATTCCAGGAGCCTTATAAAAGAGAAATCATTTCCCCCCTTGAAATTTGCAAAAAAACTGTACATTTTGATGTCAAATAATCACATCTTATTTTGTCATTTCTTGTTTTCTCTGAGTATGGAAGAAAAAAGAAAAGAGAAGAAAAGAACCAGAATTTCACTTACTTAGTTTCTTTAGAAATTCCTAATTCCTACATTGAAATGAGGACAATGCTATCTATAATCATTAAAACTTGCTAATATCCCACAAACATCAACTAGGGTTAGAATTGTGAAATAAACACATTTTCAAAACCTCAAACTTAGAATATTTGAAGTCACAACAGTGTGAAGCTCCTGCATTTTATCAGATTACTCTATGTCCAGGTATGCATGTATATGTAATTTTATACAAAGTTTCCTTGTGCACAGATATATGATAACTAATGCATTATGCAATTAGCCTGACTCTTTGGGATCAAGTAATTTATAATAATTATCATTCCAGACATATGCTATAGACATTGAAAACATGTCCAATGGGACTGTTAAAAGTGAAATTCTCAACATTGGTTTGGAATGCTACCTATTGACCCTTTTCTTTGACTTACCAAATGAGCTACAGGGTTTCAACCTGCCCAGATTAAGCAGAAGATGGATCTCTATGGGTGCCTGTGTGTGATCATAGAGCTGGGAGGACCAGTGCTAGAATCTCATCAGTAAATGATGATTCCCTGTTCTTGGGGAAAGTGGCAATGAGGCAGGTGGGCCCTGTGTAGCTAAACATCTGAGGCTGCATCAGTAGAGTCCTGTGGATGACTGTCTCACACGTTCCTGGGCATGCAATTCTAAGTCGGCTCATTCAGTTTAGTAGGAAGTCCCAGTTGCCACTGCTCCTGCTACCTGTGTATAGCTCACACTTTGATTCCTTCACCTTAGCTCTTTAGACAACTCCTCATAAAGATCAGGACTCTTGTCTTGGAAACAACTGGTTTAGGTATGTATTTACAAAGCTCTCTCTCTTTTCTTCCAGGCTTGTCACCTTAACTTTAACTATTTTTTCCATCAAAAGATAAAAATTATATAGCAAGACACTAAGACTAAAGTATAATCTATCATGATGCAAAATCATCTCAAAGTTCATAATGGCATAAAAATGATCATTGACTCCCGAAAGCAATACTTGCTTCGTGGAAGTAAGACAGTGAAGGTGAATGTTATGGGGACAGTCAGCCAAACTGCTGTCATTGGACCACAGAATTACAAACCTCCCTTGTCTGTGAGTGCCATTTCAGACTATTCAGGGCCACAGACTCAGTGAGAGAGGAGGTTTTCTTTCTCCTTGCCATTTCACTTTCTCAGTGCCAAACATCTACTGTGGCTTCCAATGAATCAAGTTCTCCTTCCTCTCTTCCCCTGCAAGCTCATGCTCCAAGTAAATGTTACAAATTTAGTGGAAGCACCCCCTTTCCCAGGCTGGACTTGCAAACAGAAAGCAAGAGCACCATTCTTCACCGGGAAACTGACCCACAAAGCGTACTGGACTCTGTAAAGAGACTGAGAAGAAGGTCAGCTAGGAAAACAAAGGGGACTCTCTCTCTAGTTACCTCAACAATCCCAAAATAAAGCTTTGTACAAGGCAAATGAAACAAAAATGAGGGCATGTGAGGCCTGGGGAACCAACCGACTCTTGTAGGTGACTTGTTTGTATTTTTTTCTTATTTTCTCTTTCCCATGGAATAATGGTTCTATATTCATCATCGCTTCTCACTACTCCCATTTCCACACCATGATGCCTACTAAGGTGGAATGCTTACAAAACACCATGCATTTAAGCCGTAGACCTACAGAAGTACAAATATGTCATATACAGATAATTATGCAGTGAGCCCTCCTCTCATACACAATAGACTTCTGTGCCTACAGGAACATATGAAAGCATGAGAATACCTTTCTTCTTCTAAATTAGCAATTCTGTGCTTTTCAAACTCTTAGAATACTATAGCTTAGATTCAGATGATGCTTAGAAAGATCTTATGAAGCTCATGGACATTTAAATAAAAACCTCACACAACCAGGGTTTTCACTTTCCTCATATTCAATCTTGAAACCAGTGGAAAAATTTCTAGGAATTGCACATGAGGAGTGTTTGCCTGGTAAAAGGGTTAATGATGTTGGAGAGTATGAATGCTAGCAGTTGAGAAGGCATGCCTGCGTGTTTGAAAAAACATTTTCTGCATCATGTCGAAATCCCTTTGCAAACAGATAAATTACTCTATAAATCTTATTACTCCACGAGGATAAATCACACATGCAGGTTTACAAGGCTGGAGAGCTAGAAGGGAAAATCTGCTTTGGGTAGTAGGATCTTTGGGATTCATAATCACCCGGTGCTCAGGAAATGAAGGCAGGAGTACTTACACGTTAGCATTCTCTTACGTTTTACAATGTGGAGCCACACATACAACATACAACACACCCACCCCCCCCACACACACACACGCACACAAACACACACACACATACTCTTCCTGCTAACAAGACTAGAGATCCCAAAGCAGGACACTCTGTGACAGCCAACCAAATTTATTTCTGGGGAAAGAAAGAAAACTTTGCTGCTGTTGGCAGCTCTGCTACAGAACTGCTCCCCGATGCCCTAAGGTTTATGCACTATCAGCTCCTTGCACACAGATTAGAGGTTTATTTTCTATCGTATACTGGTTTTTATTGCCTCAATAAGGAACATTAGCTAGACAGACATACCGACACTAGGTCATTTTATTTAGAGCAAATGAGATTTTAAAGGATCTCTAAGGAGAGTGATTTCTTTCTTTTTTCTTTTTTTTAAGTATCTGCCAGAAATTCAAGGAAAGCAAAAAAGGACAAGGGTGGCGAAGGGAAGAGACACGAGAAACACAGGAAAAGAAGCTTAGCACTCTTTAGAAACACAATTATCACTGGGTGCTATTCTCTCTCTAGCTCACTATCCCTTCTAGGGTCAAACCGCCAAGGACTTGGGACTCTCTCTTCCTTTCCAAATTTGAATCCCAAATGATATTTAAGAGTTTGGCAGAGCTGTACAGAGATAACACTTTGAAGTCAATAATCAATTTGAAATGTCCATTTTATGCCAGGTTAATTCTTTCCCAACCTCTATGCTTAACACTCTTATTCTTAAATGCCAGCAATTTGGCAAGTGGCTTTTTCCCCCCTCTCTTTATTCTTGGGCTCATTTCTACCCACATTCCAGAAAAGGCTCAGTAATCAACCAAAGTTCTAAAATTGATTTATTGCCCTTGATGTCAATTAGAAGATTTTTACAGAAAGTCCTCTATCAGAACTACTGCTGGGGTTGAGAGCCCTCATACACGCGCACACACACACACACACACACACACAGATTCACACAGACTCAGCAGGGCAAGGAGCTGACAGGGCTGTGTACCACTCTGTAAGACCCATCATTCAACCACACTCCTTTCCAAAGTAAAAAATTAAAGAATATCAACCAAACTCCGAAGTGCAAAGCATCAGCAACCACCAAACCAGGAAAACTGCCCAAATGTCATCAATGCCATAGGTGAAGTTCAGATTTTTTTTTTTTTTTGTAAGAAACAAGATCCTAAGAACAAAACAACATTTAACCAGCACCACTGGACCCTGACCGGGACCAGAATTCCTTGAATTTAGGTGGCTGCTCCGTAGCCACCAGTAAGTGAAACACACACACACACACACACACACACGCCTGCAGCGTGGGGGCTGTAGTTCCAGGGAATCAGCCGCGCGCGCACATACATACACATACACACACACACACACACACACACGGACGCGCGCGGAGAAAAGTTGCCCGAGAGCCCTACCTGAGGATGGCCGTGTCCCCCTGCCTCACGGTGATGTTGTCGGTGCCTCGGTTAAAATCCACGCTGCGGACAGGCAGTCCTGTGGGGAGAAGGCAGAGCAGTCTCAGTAGGACCAGCGGCAACTGTTTGCGGTCAGGCTGAACTCTGGCGCCCATGGTGGCCTGCGGGCGTCCTCGGGAGCCGAGCCGGGGCGCACTGCTGGCCGCGGACAGGGGCTTCACACACCCGGCGCTCGCCGCCGCCGCCACCAACGCGGGACGCGCTGTGCCAGTTTGGGGTCCTGGCCACTTTGCCTCTTTCTTTCCCTCGCTCGAGCTCTTTCCTTTTTTTTTTCTAGGACTTCACAAAGACCCTCTCAGAGACCCTAGCCTGGAGGTTGGCGGGGAGTCAGAGGAACCAAATTTCCAAAAACAACAGAAGCCCCTAGAAAGGAAGGAGCGAGGGCTGCCCGAGGCAGAGGTGCCGCTCTGGTCTCCCGGTGGCTGCGCGCCTGTGGCAGCCGGCGAACTGAGCGCCTTCCTCCGTAACCCACTTTCCCGGGCGGGAGGGCGGGCGAGGGAGCCGGCCCCCAGCCTGCCAGCGAGAGTAGAGGCACAGCCGTGCAGCAGCAGCAGCGCCAGCAACGGCAGCCCGGAGCCGCGCTCCCCTCCTCCCGGCTGCGGCTCTCCCGCCTCGCCTCGGCACCTCCCCCCACCCCGCTGGCTTTCAGCAGCCCCTCCACGTCATCCCCCTCCCTCCCAGCGCCGTGGCCCCTCGCTTTGCACAACTGCCCCCTTCAGCAGCAGCCAGCCTCAATGAAAGCCTGATGCGCCTTAGGTTGTCAGGACAACAGCTCCATCTGAGGCCTGGCTGATTTCCTTAAGAAGAGGGAATGGAGCTTAGAGGGGCTGTTCAAGGCAGAGGGGAGCGAAAGAGGGACTTACGCGATCCAAGAACAGGAGAAAGAGGCTAGGCAAGGAGAGGGGAGGAGGTGAAGGAGGAAAGAAAAGGAGACATCAAGGAGAGATGCAACCAGGACAGGGGAGCCTGGGGGTGGGCCAGAGTGCCAGACATCCGGAGAAACTTGACAGCGGGGGTCTAGGCTCCAAAGCCAAAGTGAATTTCGAACTAACCACTCCTGGCAACCGACTTTCCACACTGGCATCTTGTTCCTCCTTTCTTCTCTCCTGCACTTTCTTGTACAGGGTTGAAGAGGTTGATTTTCTTGCCTTCCTTCATCCCCTCCCCCTCTTGGAACCCCCTTAAGAAGGGTGGATTGGAGACAATGCTGGTATTGAGTGGTCTGTGGTGTGAATGCTTGGCTTGTCTTTTCCAAGTGCCAGCCACAGCAGCTGATCCCTGATCCCTAAACCAACTTCACTCTCCAGGAAACCCTCACCCAGTCCGACACAAGAGTATTGCAACTGAGGGGTATTGTGGAGGGTACATTGCTCTGGCTACCCAAGCCTCTACCTCTCCGCCGGCACTAGCTTCTCCACTTGTTCATTTGCAAGGAAGGAGATGTTTGTATCAGAACGCTTGTCATCTCCAGGGAGACTCAGAGGCTGGGTACAGCACTCCAGGGAGCCGCAGGCAGGCTACCGTCACCTGTCATCCTATTCCCTGAGTCAAACAAGTGACAAGGGCCGAAAGGGGCTACCATGTGTGAGTCACTCAAGTGAAAGTCCCAAGCCGTTGGACATTTCCCTCAGTACTGATGCTAGGGAGAAATCATGGGGTTAGATCAGCCAAGGACTTCTTATCCTCTTTTCAAATTATACTGATATGAGTAATGCATTCACAAGATGCAAAAAACAAATCATGCAAAAATGCTCCCGAATGAATTGCAGTTATAGTCCTACTCCTGTCTTCAGGCAACCCATTTCTCCAGGCTGGAGGCAACAGATATTTACAGCGTTGTATACACACAAGGCCGGCGCCGCGGCTCACTAGGCTGCTCCTCCGCCTTGCAGCGCCGGCACACCGGGTTCTAGTCCTGGTCGGGGCGCCGGATTCTGTCCCGGTTACCCCTCTTCCAGGCCAGCTCTCTGCTGTGGCCAGGGAGTACAGTGGAGGATGGCCCAAGTGCTTGGGCCCTGCACCCCATGGGAGACCAGGAGAAGCACCTGGCTCCTGCCATCAGATCAGCGAGGTGCGCCGGCCGTGGCGGCCATTGGAGGGTGAACCAACGGCAAAGGAAGACCTTTCTCTCTCTCTCTCTCTCTCTCTCTCTCTCTCTCACTGTCCACTCTGCCTGTCAAAAAAAATAAAAAAGGAAGAAGTTTTTGGCAGGGCTTGATGGGGATCTGAGGCTTATTCAGCCTTCAGGTTCTGAGCAAGAAACCTGCCTTCACCCCCTCCAAATCGTCACACTTGATCTCCTTTTCATTTCTGTATGCCAGCAAGGCCTCCAGGTTCAGGCTGTTTCCTCTGTGGTAGCAAGGAGAGCCCAAGAAAATTTTCATAAGCAGTTCTGTAGCCTCAAGCAAAGAGTTTCTGACTCATCCCAGGGACTCTCCTACATCTGTCAACAGAGGAAGCTCTAGGTGGGAAGGGAACATTTCCTGCCTTTCTGTTCTGGATCATTTTCTGCCTGAAAATAGTCCATAAATATACAAGTACACACACAGGTGTCATACCCCCTCCCCTTATTTACAGAAATGGTTGGTCAAGGGTGTCCTCATCCCCAAAACAAAGGAATAAGTTTAAGAACCTGCAACAGACCCCACTGGAGCACAAAGCTCTAAAGAAACACTTACAGTGCTGACAGCTGCTTTGACCCCCAGAATATTCAAAGGACTTTGATGCTACATTTTATTAGTAGATGAAAACACAAGTGACTCGTTTAAGAGTATGTGAGGAAAGCAAGGAAGACCTTTTGGTTTTAACAAAAGACTTTGAAGAATTGAAATCTAAATTGTCACAAATCAATGATGGAGTTCAATTAATTTTGTTTGGACTGTGCATTCATTTTGTATAAATCAAGGTTTTCTATGACAGGGCTTATAAACAGTGTCCAGCTAATAAGTCACTGATGTTCCACCATCAAGTTGGAACTCAGTTGTTTAAAACTTCAAATCCATTTGCTACAGAAAAAAAAATTGGCTAGGTTGAGTGATTATTTGAATTACAAAACCCATAATCTTGTAATTTCTAACTTTCAATGTAATAATGAACTTCAAGTGGTAATGCATAGTGCACTCTGTCAGGTGTGCAAGCACACTGTCTTCTTATACCATCAACAGACTGGACCATCCCTCTCAGATGTCTTCCATGGATGAACAATTAGCTTAGTAAAAGGCTTCAGACAACGCCCCTGAGGAAATCCACATTCTTTCTGGAACCCTTAGATCTGATCCTCAGAAGAATGGCCTGTTTCTGTCCCTCAACGACTTCCCTCTTCAGCATGAAGCAGCCAGAGCAATCGTCATCTCATATCACTAACAGAAGTTAGGGTCCATTCTTCTGGGGTAGGAATGTGAAGAGTCAGGGTTAGTAGGCACTTAGATTGGTCGCAGTGGAAAATGAGGAAAGGGGAGTTCCCTTATGAGGGTGCAAAATGCTTGTTTCTTCCCAGAAGTTACCTTTAGCAAGAACAAGGTGTCAAATCCCATTGCATATTTCTCCCCAAAAGCTGCCTTTAGCAAGGCAAAATTGTCCATCCCACCCTTCTGAGTCTCTGGTTTTATCAAGAGACTAGAAAGAAGAAGCCTATCCCCATGGTCTTTTGTCTTATCTTGACCAAGATTACAAGAGACAGACCCTCACAATTCTGGGGGTCTGCCTCTCTCGGAGTGCCCCATTCCTGATCACTGTAGCAGGAGGTTTCGGTCTTGAATAAATCTTGCTTTTCCCGCTCTCTCTCTCTCAAAAAAAAAAAAAAAAAAGAAGGCTTAGATAGAGCATATATTCTTGTGTTGGCTGGTGTTTCTCTAGGACAGCAGGAAGCAGGCAACCACAGGCTACTAGAATGCTCTAATTGTATATACGGTCCTAGGTGCATAGTATAATCCCCAATAATATCCGAGATACTCTGAGGGAAAGGCTTAGACATACTGAGGGTATGAGCACTTTCTTGTTTTGGTGGGTTAGATTTTGTGTAAAGACAGGGAGAGTTTGTTCTAGAAAGTACAATGGAGTTGTAATGTATCTGTTGCAGATGATGCTTATATGTGATTAATACCTATTAATATACCAATAATACTTAATATAATACATAAATAATTAACATATTAATATATCCAACAATCTACTGATAGAACTTGTCTTGTAGTACTAGGATAAAAGCTAGAATTTAACATAATGTGATACCAAATAATTCACAACAAAGTAGAAGGAAAGTGGAATTTATAATAAATCAATCAGATCTGGAGTTTATATCTACAATCACTCTGATAAAAAGGATAACTTAAGTTAATCAAGGCTGTGATCAAAATTATAACAGAAATGTCTGACCTACCTAAGAGGACAAAATCATAAGTATATATTTATATTATAAATCACAAGACAGTTAAGAGTTTTTAATAGCTACATTAAATAAAGTCCATTTCTTGGCAATTTTTGTTAAACTAAATTGACTTACTGTGAGCCTTGAAAATAAGACTTCTTTTAAGAAAAGACTACATTTTTAGAAGTTTGTAATTTGGACTGCTCAGCAATTCAACATAATTCAATTATATTGGATTTCTGAACAATTTCAAAATCATGAAATGTAATATGTAAGTTAATCATTGAATAGTTATTATTTACACCCAGACAGCACTTGAAGCACAGCTCTCTAACCCAACCTTTGGCCCAAGGGAGTACTCCATAACAGATGAATATGAGCATGGAGGAAAGGCAGCGTGTTCAAGCCCTCTCACGTGGCTTACCTCCCAGTTACAGAATAATAACTCTACCTGTGGGGGCACTATCTACTTCCACTTCAGGACTCAGAGTCCTTCTCCATTTCATTCCTTCATGGAGTCCCTCTGGTTTTCTCTCCCACATCATCTCTCACTTCCTAATAAATCCATAGTCCATACACATCGGATAACATATCTCATCCTAATGATCATTCTCCCTACATAACCCTGATACCAACTTCTCTGCTTGATTTCCTAAGAAATGTAGAGAAGGAAACAGATAGATGAGTTCCTGAAATTTACGATGGCTATTTTGCTGTACACCACTATAGTCAGTCTTCCAAGAGGGTTGGCAAAAATGAACATACTTCTGAGTTATTTGTGAGGCAAGTATGGCTGTTAGCCATGGGAAACAGCAATCATCACCCAAGCAAGATGATCTTAACTAGTACTTTAAAATAACACACAGCTTTTCTAAAAGAGGCTTTAGAAGATTCTGGCACTCTACAGGGACAAATGCTGCAGGGAAAACAAAAACTGGCTAACGTCTGAATACCCTAAGAAGCGAAAAAGGTTTATTCTTCTGCTAAGCTTTGTAAGGTAATAGACTCACATGAAATCCAGATGCAGCCTGCGATGTACAACTAATTTAGCTACATTGCTTGCATTTTATGCTAAACGTGTCTATACCATTATTAATATACCACTCTACATTTCTACAGCTGTATGGCCTTAATCATAATAATGCCATGCCTGCACTTTACTTTCATAAGTGGAATTAGCATTTCCATATGAACTAGAAATGCAGAATTGTTAATACAT